GAGTGCCGTATGGTGCCCATCGGGGGCGAGCAGAGCACCATATGGAGCTTTTAGGTATAGGGGAACGATTCAAAACTCCCGCGGCTACACGGGGCTCACATTCTGTTCTTCAGAACTCCAATAAAGAGACGCCATCTTAACACTTTTGTGCTCGACTCGTGAACACCGCAGGCTTCCCCAAAATGCTCCGAACGTTTCGGCCGAGCGTGCGGCGACACTGAAATGTGTATACCCTACTCGTTTCAGTTTTCTCACCTTAATTCTCGTGCTTTGTCGTTCCATTTGGTATCATTGTGTTTGCAATAGAATTCTCCACAAGGGTATATGCATATAAGGTCCAAAAGCCTGGCGCTACCCCTTACAGCAAAGCCGAAAGTCGGACAACCGTTACCCGTGTGCAAGCACCAATTGGCACACCGGCAACCTAATGTGTATATTCTCTTCAGTTTGATAACATCAATTTTCGTGTTACGTCTTTCATTTTGGTATCACATTGTTTGCAATATAAAGGCACGCATTGTAAAACTAGTTCGATAATAATAGAACAATTAGTGGAATTTTAACAAATATATTAATTTTGGACACTCATCACAAAAGTATTTATAATCTTTCCAGTGTTCTGACATTAATTTTCAATCTCTGCCATTCATTTTGATATCAAATTGTTCACAATCTAAAGGCACACATGTTAAAACTAGTCCCATAATAATAGAACAATAAATAGAATTTTAGCAAATATTTTAATTTTTAGCTTTTTTTTTTGTCTAATTTGTCAGGCTACGTCGTCATTATGGTTTCAAATTGTGTGCAATCTGAAGGCGCTCATTTTGAACCCAGTCCTAGAATGATCAGATAAAATTTAGAATTTTAACAAATATTTTAATTTAGCCCCGGTCTGTTACGGAGCTGGTTTGGTCTTCTCCTCGAGTCTTCGTGTCTGGTAATTTTGACTCTGAGTCTATCGCCATATGTTTGGTGATCAGGTGGCTTCGTTGATGGTGTTCCATCTGCGTGCTTCACCTCGGCGGCAATATGGGGTTTCCTGGCGGTCCTTCCTTTTTCTTTTTTCTCTCTCTTTGTGGGTACACTGCTTTTTTCTGGTGGAGGGGAGCCCCTACGGCTCCCGGGAGCTATCCAGACTGATAGAAATAGTCGTAACTTTTGACATCAGTCGATGTGGGTGGAGTTCTAGGCCTACCGGGGGTGCCCTATAAACAAAATGAGGCAGCCTCGGGGCACCCGGGGAAGCAACCAACCTAGAGTGCTGCAGCAACCTAAACCTATCCAGCAACGCGGGAGCTGCCTGCACTCGAATATCATCATCATCAGTTTGGGTGAACTGAGTCTCATACAAGCAACAAAGCTCGCAGGACTCTGGGTCGAATGTGTCACTGACCCAACAGGCAGCACGACGAAAGATAAAAACAACGAGCGTCGCCCTGAGACAAGGGGACAGCAACCCTCAAACTCGCAAAAAGTGAGAGGAGACTTGGGGGTCACATCCATTGGACCCCAGTGCCCCGCAAGGTTTTCCAGGACCCCTAGACTGGGTCTGCTAAGGGTTATCCCAGGCAGGGTACTGCTAACCGGCAGTACCTACTTGGGGGTGTTGTTGGTAGCTTCGGCCTTGGTTCCATCCGCGCTCCCTCGTTCTTCCCCCTGCTGTGGTTCGTTCAGTCCCCCCCCCCCCTCCTCCTGCTTACGGCTCCTAAGCATCTGAGGGCTTCAGGGTCGGGGCAGGGTTTAGATGTTTCCGAGACTCTTGGGGGGGGGGGATTGCCTCTTCCGGGGTGGATGCGGAGGCATTCGAGTCGGTTCCTCCAGCCGTAGCTCTGGGGTCTGATTAGTGGGCCCATCCTCTTCCTGCTATTTCGGCTGCCCCGTCTTTTTCTTGTAAGGCCGGGGCTTTGGAGGACGACTTGGCCCTGAGGCCTGACGTAGAGGTTCCCGGGATTGGGGAGGAGCTGACTTGGGGGCCTTGGGGCCCCGTTGGACTCCGCCTGGGTTTTCCGACCCTCCGAGCGGGGCTTGCTGTTACAAGGAGTGGGGGTTTCTTCCCCCCCCCCTCCCCCTCTGCGTAACGACTTGGATTTGGGTTCAGCTCCTCCCCGGGTTCAGTTCTGTTTTTCCAGAGGTTTTCGACTTCCCGCATCTCCGCCTGAGGTGCGGGCGGCCATTGCGGCTTACTTCCTGCGCAACCCGGATTATGCCTCTATAATGAATCCATCTTCTTTTAGGCTTGGGTCTTCGTCTCCATACTGGGTTCATTATGACGTTCCGGAGTCGTCTTGGCTAGCGAACTGCACTTTGTTTTTGCTGGATGCTTGGGACACTTTCTGTTGTACCCGCATGCTGGAGTGGTGCGAGGCATTGACTATGATCCAGGTTTATCTGGGGGCGACTTTGCGCACCTTAATGAGTGCATTTTCGCTCTGGCTCTTCTGCGGGATGTTGGCGCGGTCTGGCTTCATGTGCAGGTTCCCTCCTTGTCGGCAGCGCTTGTGGCTGAGATCTTCGGGCCTGCGCTATTTTCCCTACCTTGAGCTGTCTTCGGATTGGCTTATGGAGGATGTAGAGGCACTTGGGGCCTTGGTTCAGGTTCCTGGTGAACTGGCGGAAGTCCCATCTGGTTCCCTTCCAGGTTCGGACCTGGCTGGGCCTTGTGTGGGACTCTCGGACCGCTTCCTTGTCTCTTCCTCCGGAGTCTCGCCTTTTGGCGAGAAAACTATTTCTATTATTATTATTCGATACTGTGTGTGGATGCTGCAGTACCTCCTCTCCTACTTATATTGCATTTTAACCCTTTCTCTGTTTCACAATCTGGCATCTCTTGTTCCCACCTAGGGGTAGGAACAATAGTAAAAAATATGTACTTATTTTATATTTGTCTGCATTTTTATTACATTTCTAGTAAGTAAAAAGCCAGCTCTTTCCATTTATGCTATTTAAAATTCTGGAAATACTAAATTTACAGTGACAGGAAACTAAATAAAGGAAAGTACACTTTTTGTGTCCTTATTATATAAGAAAACATGATCCAAAAAGCTCATCAGATATGTATAGTTCTTAATATAGTTTGTGATATACAGTGTATGTATAACAAGACTCATATACTAGCTACGCTTGGTAATCAGGATCATGTCGGGTACACCTGCCAGACATCCTAATTAACTGAATGTTTACCATGAAAGTCATAAAATGAACATTCGTAAATTTGTTTACCACAACCAACATAATGTAATTCATATACTGTATCCTCATGAAATAAATATAAATTTACATAGGGAAGGATCTTCATATACAGTACATAAAGGACTCAAATAATTTATTGACAACATAACTTTAAACTTGCTCATTGAGATACGGTATTATGTCTCATAAAAGTACAGTACAGTAGGCATATCTTCTGTGGATCGACTACTCCAATAAACAGCATGATAGTGGAAGATCCAGACAACTTTTTTATGCATGATGTCTAAACCCCTGTAAATATAACTGATATCAACACGAGTGTGACAGATTTTGAAAGAGAAACTGACAACGTGCACATGTACTCAGCTTTGGGTCCAGACTCATAGAATTCAATATTTATAAAGAAATGCAAAGTGCCAGTAGAACAGGCACTCGGTGTTGTGTGGAGGACGAGCATGAACACGGGGGAGATACCAGATGAGCTTAAATCAGCAGACATAGCCCCTCTTCACAAGGGAGGGAGCAAAGCATTGGCAAAGAATTCTAGACCAGTTGCACTAATGTCCCACATAATAAAAAAATTTGAGAGTGTGATCAGGAGTCAGGTCACCAGTTTCATGGAAACCAATGACCTCCACAACCCAGGCCAACATGGATTTAGAGTGGGAAGATCATTTCTCTCACAATTACCTGACTACTACGACAAAGTCACTGAGTCATTAGAAGAAAAACAGAATGCAGATATGGTAAACACGGACTTCACAAAGGCATTCAATAAATGTGACCATGGAGTGATAGCACAAAATGAAGTCAATGGGAATAATTGGTAAAGTAGGACAGTTGATACTCAGTTTTCTGTCGAACAGAACACAAAGAGTAACAGTCAATCATGTAAAATCAAGTCCAAGCACAGTTAAAAAGCTCTGTACCTCAGGGTACAGTAGAAAATAACATGATGTTCAACAGTGATAAATTCCAGGTACAATAAATCCAGGAGAGAATCACATACACTTCCAATGAGTATAAGAAATATTGCCGGAACAACCGTGGACATCTTCAAGAGAAAACTAGATAGTTTTCTTCAAGGAGTGCTGGACCAACTGGGCTGTGGTGGATATGTGGGCCTGCGGGCTGCTCAAGCAGCAGTCTGGTGGATCAACCTCTCACAAGTAGAAAAACTCCCTGAACCCCGTCAAGCAGGTATATCTATTATAAATGACAGGCAGCTGGTTATCATTGAAAGGAATATTTATACATTGTTATTAAATTTTGTAATAATGTGATCTGTTTTTAAATGCTATATTGATAAACATTCTCAAATAAAAGCAGGCTTCTTAATTTGCTGTATTATGCATAATGCGTACTACTTTGTACTGCACTACAATTGTACTGGAGAGGGTGCTGGGAGTTGTTCTACTTCCCGAGCCCGGCCCGAGGCCAGGCTTGACTTGTGAGAGCTTGGTCCAACAGACTTGCTTGGTGCAGCCCACATATCCACTATAACTACTTTAGATTATTTTTCATGTCCAATTGGAATTATGCAAATAACCCCCTAAGGCATGGTATTAGGGGCTTTTAAGAATGCAGTGCCTCTAAATTGTCTGTGATGTATTGATAATAGATTTATGTTTAAATATATATAAATAGGAGCTGGATATAATTGGATTCAAATAGGAGCTGGATATAATTGGATTCAAATAGGAGCTGCCTTGTAGGGCCAGTAGGCCTTCTGCGGTTACCTTCATGCTTATGTTCTTATGTTCTTATTTGTGAGTGTCTGAGTTTATTATCCCCTTCTTTCTTTGCAGGCCCATAAGAGAGTGAAGGTTACCAAAGATCATGTCATTAAAGCTAAGGGAGAGGTGGACTCGGATTCACCGTCGGCCAAGACTCAGGTCAAAAAGTCACTCTTCTGTAATGTACACACGAAGGTAAACATAATTGCTTCAGATGGTATTCTATTGGGAGACATCCCTTTCAATGAAAACTAAAATCAAGAGCCATGTTAAGTGTTATGAATTTTTTTTAAGGTAATCGGAACTTGTCTTTAAGATTACATACAAGATTTTGCTATTTACCTAAGTTGACTCTTGCTTCTGTCTGTAAATCATGTTACCTGTAAATCATCATCTTGTTGGTTCTGGGGATCAATGTCCCCTTGGTCCCCTCGTTCCGGTTTCTAACCAGGCCTACTGGTTACCAGTCTGGTCAGCCAGGCTATTGGACTCTGTTACTCTCAGCCTGATGTCTGAATAACAACCTGGTTGATCAGGTATGCTTGGTGGTGGTTGTCAAGTTCTCTCTTGAACACAGGTAGTTCTGGGGATCACTGTCCCAATCTCTTATGCTTTTACATTGAAAATGTCTCGTTTACATATTTGAGGTTGTAAACATGCACGTATAAATGTTTTCCCATAATTTTAGTCAAGAAAACCCGCACCATAATTTACAAAACGTATTAAAAATTTAAAATCTTTTGTTATCCAGAATTGTCTTTATAACTGAAGAGTATTTGATAATGTCTGAATTCGTGAGGTCTCACTGTACAGTATACTCAAAGCTTTATTTTTATGTTATGTAACCAAATGACTTGACTTGGAATACATCCTCTTTCCTATAGTAGGATATTAACACTAGACTGTGCAGATTGTTAATGTACAAGTCTCTAGGAAAGCATCTATGCAAAATATATACCTGTGCTTATATATGCAGTATTCAAGTACACTATATTCTTATGTATACATAGGTAACTGCATTGCTTGCATATACATTTAAAAACATTGTACCTATTCAGTTCTATATGCAAATACTGTATCGCACTTGTGCCATACATTTTCTTACATTGATCTGTACTATTGTTTTGTAATTATATTATCACATTTTGCCATTTTGAAAATTGTCAGTAACGATTCACAATTTTCCAGGAAAAGTTAAACCTTTACTGTCAGACCTGTGACCAACTGACATGTAGAGATTGTCAGCTCATTGAGCACCGTGAGCACAAGTACAAGTTTTCTGAGGAGATGGCTAGTCTCACCAGAGACCGACTCAGACAATTCCTAATGGACATTCGGAAAAAGAGAGGCTATATAGAAAATGCCAAGGAATTGGTGGCAGAACGCAGACAACAGATTCTCAACAAGCAAGACTCGGTGCAAGCTGATATTAATAGGCTAGTCGAAACGTAAGTTAAGTCTGTTTACTTTTATTTTTATATTATGTAACAATTCTATATAATTTCATTTTTGCTAATGTACTCTGTCAGCAGAACTATTCGCATACTTTGCGTCATTATATAATGGAATGTGAAAAAATTGCGGAATTTAGAGATAACACCATCAATAGTGTCCAAGAAATGTGTAAGTACTTCATTCATAATGATGTGCTGCCCGAAATCTTAGCGAAGTATCCAAAATTTGCTTACTGTAGGTAATGCATGCACATGACTGTAAAGCTGCCACCCAGTTGGCTGGGGTGTGCAGCAAGACTAGTAACTGTGTGACACACTATAGATGTATAGTGACTGTTGTGAGCCTCTTGTAATGTCACTTGTGACAAAGATTATTGATGTGTGTATTTGTGTGGGTGATTAGATATGTATGTATATGTATATGTGTATACGTATATATATATGTACATGTATGTATGAGGGTGTGTACATGTGTATACAACATTGATAATTTTGTAACTAGCGTCAAACATTGTTATTTGCTTAGCTAAACGAACTAGAGGGTTCAGTTCCTGAACTGATTATGTGCCTCTGTAATCCTTTACACCACCGCCCACGGGATGGGTATGGGGTGCATAATAAAGAAAGAAATTGAATTGTACCAAAATGTTTGTAACAGTGTTGGTATATTGATACTCAGGTTCAAGTTGCTAAGTTGTGTATGTTTGCATGTAAATAATATATGAAAATTCAAGCTCGGGATAGCTCGTTTACAGGAGACAATGAGTCACAGTAACATGGCTGAAGATATAATGGCCAAAGCACACAGAAAATGGAGAAATGGCGACATTTCCTTCTGTCCAGGAATATTACACAACTTGATACTGGTCCAGGACGGACCGAAATTTGATTGTTTCCCTATCTTCTGATGTGTGGTTTAGTTATCGTAGTTTATAGGAGCTTTAGAACTGAAAATTTATGCAAGCATCAGAGTTGCAGAAGGGTAATTTATGTCCCCTCAAAGTGAAGCTGTCATCGAGACTGTCATCCTACATGTGCCCCCCCAAAAAATACTTGTTTTTTCTTATGAAATATGTAGATCTATATTCAAAACAATGGAAAATACACAGGAAAAGCTTAGACTTACCCTTATTTGGTCTGGGCACTGGTCAACATCTTTCTTGCACTTATCAGTATTATATTGTGAAGGGCAGTACTGTATGTGGAAGTCAAAAAACAAAAACAAAAATAAACATTGTTACAATCTTTGTTAGTTCAGTTAAGTGCTTACATCTGATATCCAAAAATTTTAGTACTGTACAGTACTGTGCGTTCTGTGGGAGCCCCATTGGCTCCCTGAAGCTATTCGAACTGATATGTGCTATATTAGTTTGGGGGTCATCAGTCATAGGAGATCTTATGCCTTCCGGGGACCACGAGCGAGAACCTGGCCCCCTTATAACGGAAAGTGGGGGGGTGGATAGGAATAAATAGAAAAAATGGAATTAATGGCTGGAAGGAGGAGTAGGGGAGCAGTTAGGAAGGGAGAAGTTACAGAGGACAGAAGGAGGAGGGAGGAAGAGAGGAGGAAAGAGGAAGGAGGGAGGAAATGAGAAGGTAAGAGAAAGGAGGGACGAAGAAAGGAGGAAAGATATTTAGTGAAAAGGTAAAGTTAAGAAAGAATTAGGGATGAAAAGAAAGGATTATGAGATAGTATTTGGGAAGAAATGAAAAGATTAGTAGGAGAGAAAGAGACGAGGATAGAGCTGCCACCATCCATTTAAAATATGTATTTTTAGAAGGGAAATGTAACTCGTCTCTTAAACCACAGTTATCACATTGATGATAACTTTCAATAACATTCAAACACTAATAGAAAATAATACTTCTAAGTTTTTAGAATATTTTTCACATTTAAAACTTGGAAATTTACATTTATTTCTGCATTATCATGTTGAATACAACTTTACATGCCAGTTTAGCATTGATTAAACTCTACAAAAGGAGTAGAGTCACTGAACCAGAAGTCGAGAACCCAATGTGGCTGCCTGCCCCTGGCGTTTCACTAAACACATAATCACGGAACACACACATTCATGGTACATCACCTCCCAGGCACTCGCCAGGTTCAATATCCAGATTGGATGAGCTTTGTGGGTGACAACAACTCATATGGTTTGCAGACCCAGCTCACACTGTCTTGCCTGGAGACTCGGCTCACTCTGTCTCCACACAATCTTCTCTCTGGTCTGAGGACTCGCACTATTCTATCTTCTTACTCTGTGTCCCTGCTCCATTTTCTGACCTCTTTTTCTCAGATTGATCGATGAGGATTAAGCCACCCAAGAGGTGGCACGGGCATGAATAGCCTGTAAGTCTTTTCTCAACTTGTTCCCATTTTTTATACCCCTGGATCTTTCCTGTTACCATTGGATTATCAGACGAAGCTGGTAACTTCTCGGAAAGGGATTAACTCGTCAACCTTTGATAACTGTCTAAGGTTGGGATTATGTAATCTTACCTCACCTCCCCGGGGCAGTCTCATAGATTAGGCACCCTACAAGTCATGAATCAAGCCACCTTCACAACTGTTACACCCTCAGAGAGGCGCAGCGAGTCACTGCACATTGGTACGTGTACTGTTCTTTCAAATCAAATAGTTACAGTAAGTATTGTATGAGCTTGCTGATCTGATGCCCACTGATCAGAATATCTGGGTTATCTGGCAAAAACTGCTGCTGGATATTTTTCTGACACAGCATCGCTATATACGGATTGAAATTTGAATAATTGGAGGTTTGGCTGGATAGTGCAGACTGGTATAGGTTCTAAATCAAGTGTGGATAACTTTCTGCCAAACCTAACCATATCTGGAAAGAAATGCAGAACACTGAAGATTTTGCCAGATACTGCTTACAGGCATTGAGCCATACAGTACTGTACTGTTCTAAGCCTACCGGAAACCAGAGCCAGAACCTGGCCCCCCTCAAAAGAGGCACGAGGAGCAATGGCCTAAATACACCCCTGTGTAATTGGAAGCAGTCTTTGTCTGCCACCTACCAGGTCAGGCACCCAGAAAGGTAGGAATTTCAAAACAAACTATTGTGGTCAAAAAATTGCAAACTGAAAGCCGAACTAGCAACTAGGGGACTCCCCAATTAAAAACAAGGAAACAAACATGTCACCACAACCGCCGCGCATCCGTCTGCGCAACCCCCCCCCCCTCTCCCCCTACCCAGGAGGGGGATGGGGGGGTCCCAGACCTTCATGCCTGCAACTCCTCAGTTCAAGAGGCTGTTGGTGCCGGTCGATTGCTCTGGTTCCACTCTTTGCGCGGTGCTGCAGTGCAGTGTTGTTGCTCTGCTTTGGTGGCATGTGAGCTAGAAGTAACACAAGAGTACTGGGGCTGCATACACCTAGGGCTACCTTCCCTAGGTGCCCTAGGGAAGCTAGGACTTCTCTTGACGGACGTGGACAGGACTCGCGTCCACTCCAAAAATTTTTGTATAAAATTCATTTTTTATCCGATCGACCTCGGGATAGTTTCAAAATATACGCCTTTAGAGTGCGCACAATTTGATACCAAAATGAAAGACGTAACACGAAACTTAATGTCAGAACACTTGGAAGATTATAAATACGTTTTTGGGTCTAAATTTTAAATTTTAAAATATTTGTTAAAATTCTATTTATTGTGCTATTATTATGGGACTAGTTTTAAAATGCGCACCTTTAGATTGCAAACAATTTGATACCAAAACAAGTGGCGTAACACGAAAATTGATGTCAGAACACTGGAAAGATATATATAATTGTGATGATGAGCGTCGAAAATTAAAATATTTGTTAAAATTTCAGTTATTGCTCTATTATTATGAGACTAGTTTTAAAATACGCGCCTTTATATTGTGAACAATGTGATACCAAAACGAGCGATGTAACACGAAAATTGATGTTATTAAACTGAACGAGTATACACATTAGGTGGTGGTGTGCAAATTGGTGCTCGTTCACGGGTAACTTTAGGCTTTGCTGCGGAGAGTCTTGCCAGGCTTTTGGACATTATATGCATATACACCTGCAGGGAATTTAATTGCGAACGCAATGGTACCAAAACGAATGATGTAGCACAAGAATTAAGGTGAGAAAACTAAAATGAGTATAAACATTTAGGCGTCGCCGCACACTTGCCCGCACCGTCCGCCCCATGACGTCAAAGTCTGCGGCGCTCACGTGCCACGCTCGATAGTGTTAAGTTAGGTTTCATAAAGTTTCAATGTTATTGATATGAAGATACAGTACTGTATGCACCATCTATCAACAAAATGAACTACAACACGGTAAGCTGAAATTTCTATTTTAAATTACAGTAGAGGTGTATTTTTTAAATTACTGTATGATGTGTGTGAAAATTTAAATTATGTTTGTTGTGATACAAAAAAATTGTGAACATGTACACTTTTGAACTTCCCTGGTAAGAATTCTGAATATTCGATTGTCTGGCTTAGCTGGTGTGGTGTCTTTCTCATATAGTTTGGAAAAGAGAGCTCATACACTTGTTTCATTTTAAGAAGATGGGCAGAAATATTCGAACTATATGGGTAACACTGGTATTCAACCATTGACATACAATGTAAATCGCCATACGATGAATGTATTGCACTTGACGATAAACTGATGAGATGACTGCACTTTGAGGGTTAAACCTAAGCATTGTGAATTCATAATATACTGTACTGGTATTGTATTACTAGGAAGCTGTTAGTCTTCCTCTTGTTGCATCTATATTTGTTATACGTATTCTTTATCTTGTTGTTAACCTACTCTGTTAAACATTTTATACATGTTTTCAGTATGTACTGCTTGTCAATTTGCAGGTTTATTGAAATTATCAGACAGCGAGGGAATACATTGTTTGAACTATTACGTGAAGTATGTAATAGCAAACAGGAGCAATTGGATAAGAAGAATGAGGTGTTGCTTCACTTAGGGTCACAGGCAGACCATTGTATTACTGTCGTGGAGGCAGTGCTCAGTACTTCCTCGGATATGGCTCTCCTCTATTCTAAAAAGTGAGTAACTGGATTAAATAGTGATTTTCAAGTAAATAAATTAATGCACAATTTTTTGATTTTATAATGGCAGCATATGCACGTGTTCTCATCTACTAGTTTTTCTGGAGGATGAGCTCCAGCTTCTCGGTCCTAACTCCTGATCATCAACTGACTAGATAAGTATAGGGTAAAGTCGCCAGTTGGTGGGCACTTAGAAAAGTTATTGATGTTTACAGATGACTGAAAAAAAAAGTTAAGTTTATTTGAATGTTTATGGTATGAATCGAAAGAAGACCCATATATCAGATGTCACCCTAACTTTACTGGACTTTGAAATAATAACCATAGACATTGACAATAACTACACTGTGCACCAGGGCCAGATTCCTGGAATTCTATATTCATCAAGAATTGCAAATAAAAACAAATCACTTAGAGGCCCTAAACATCTTTGTAAATGGAGCCAAAATACTGGTGTTATTCTCAACATATTTAAAACAGTAGAGATCATGCCACTCCACAATGGAGGTAGTAGAGCAAAAATAACATTTTCAGACCAATTATAGATATCACACAACAAATTTTGAAGAGCTAAGAAGTAAGATCACAAAACACATGGAATCACAGTGTCAGCATAATCCTAGACAACATGGTTTCAGAAAGGCTCTCCTGTCTCTCAATTGCTGGACCACTATACAGTAACATAACCTTAGGTACCATGGGACATGCAAAACATTGCTGTAATATACACAGATTTCGTAAAAGCTTTCAACAAATGTGACCATGGTGTTATTGCACACAAAATGTGCATAAAAGGAATTACTGGCCAAGTAGGGAGGTGGATCTTTAACTTCCTAATGAACAGAATCCAGATTGTAATAGTCAACAAAGCAAAATCCAAATCATCTACTGTGAAAAGATGTCTCTCAAGGTACCATACTTGTTCCGGTACTTTTTCTCATCAGGCATAGGCACAAACTATAGTGCTGTATCATCCTTTACATATGACACTAGGATTTTTATGAGAGTAGACAATATAGAGGACACAGCAAACCACCAATCTGATATTAATCAGGTTTTTCAATGGGCCACAGAAAATAACAACATATATAATGAAGGTAAGTTCCATTTTCTGCACTGTGGAAAATAAAAATGATGACCACATATAAAACACACATCATTGAAAGAAAAGGCAATATAAAAGATTTGGAGTAATCATGTCGGAAGACCTAGCTTTCGAAGAATACAATAAAGTAGATGACACAACTGCAAGGAAATGACAGGTTGGATAACAGGATAACTTTTCAAGAAAGAGATGTCATACCAATAATGATACTTTTCAAGATGTGCTCTTATAGGAGGAATATTTTTTCACACTTAACACACACATTGAATGCTGGAGAAATTGCTGACCTGTAGAATGTGCAAAGGTCTTTTAATGCTGAATCCACTCAAATATCTAAGATATTGGAAGCACTTAAAAATTCTAAATATGTGTTCTCTAGAGTACAAGCGATAAAAATACTGTACATAATAATTTGCACTCAAAAAATATTAGAGGGATCAGTACTGAATCGCAAATGGAAATAAAACCACATGAGCAGTAGGCATGGCAGTATGTGCAAAATAGTCCCTTTAAAGAGCAGAGGTGCAATAGGTATGCTGAGAGAGAATTCTATTAACATCAAGGGTCCAAGACTTCAACACACTTCCTCTTCACATTAATTAATTAATCTATCTCTTCTTCTAGACATACCTACCCATCTATCTCTCACACATTCACTTACCTCATATAAGCCTCATTGGGACACTAAATGTGATACATACTGATTTTTTAATGGGGTTGTGGAAGATTCACAGTGATGCATATCAATAAAGACCAATATAATGTACATAATATGTTTGAATTATTCAAATTCATTAAAAAAAAAAAAATTGCCTTTCAGGTTGCTGATGGAACAGGTACTAAAAGTAGACAAAGATTCCCCTGATAGAAGTTTATTTGATCGCTTTAAGGCAAAGCTTAACTCTGGAGATGATATCTCTTTAAGAATATCAAGCGAGTCCCGGGGACTTGGCAAAGGTAAGTACACACTTTGAACGTCATTTAATCTACTGATGTGAGAGTATTGATATATTTTCATTTTCTTTTCATGTGATATATTCACATTTTCTTCTAGTGAAGAATTCACTTTTTCAAAATTATTTGAGCCTTTCTTATTGTAGGATTGGGGGAAAAGAGTGGGGGGGGGGGGAATAGAGGAAGAAAACAGACTTGAGCAGTAGCAGCTGTACTTCACAAGGTATTTGTTGTGTTGCAGCATTAAAAGATGTTGGCTACCTATTGGTGGACAATAAAATCTACCCACCACCTGATGGAGCAGTTCAAAACAAAGCCCGATCTTCTCAGCCGTCACCAGTGGATCAGTCAGCCTCCCCACAGCCTCCTCAGCCACCTCAGCCTCCGGCACTTACACCTATGCACTCTCATATCCAGCATCAGCAACAGCATCACCTTCAGGTAAAGACTCCTCATTTTATCACGCCTGTGCACTCGCATATCTTCTAGATTATAATAGTTGTTTATTATGTTAATATTTTATTTTTTATTATTGAAGTAGGATAGCACACCTTAACACTTTCGCTGGATGACGATGATCTCAGAGTCATCAAAACAATACACACGGTTCGGGGCATGATGTTAACACCGTCATCCATTAATTTTTGCTTATTCTTATTATTAAGTATTTACATTGTGAGTGAGTTTAACATTGGTGGGTTGTGTGCTCACTGTGTAAGGTAGGATGGGCATTATCCTACTTTACAGTGCGATTCGGGTGGCCCACCTGCCCGGCCAAAGTGTTAAGTATAAATTTGCTCCAGCATGATGTTTTAAGCAGCTATGTCTGGTTTCAAAAGTAAGCAAGTTGCATTCCATTCACCTGGACTGTATAGTTTCAAACCGCAGACCTCATGCATGTAAGACGCATTATCAACTAGGCTATGAGGCGTCTTAAAAGGAAAGTTTTCAGAAGCAGCATCCTGCTGCATACTGAAATTTTCAACTTTCCCTGACTACTACTGAACGCCAGAGGAATTACTGATCCACATCCATGTCATATAAATTGCCATCCACACTTCCATGGAAATATACATTCCATTCATGCGTTTTAGCAAGTTGCAGTTTGATATCAAGGTGTTTAGAGAAAGTATTTTAATGAGGATGAAGTGTTTAGAGACTATTACACTATCTATGGCAGTGTTTCCAACAATCTTCAGACTTACAAGAATAGTCAGCAATTCATCTTATGAGATTAGATTAGAGGCCTAATTGTTGACTTCTATTCCTCGCAATTGTGTTGATGTTGGGCTGACATACAATGAGTGCCTCCCACCCTCCCAGCTGACTTGAGAAAACTGTCAATGTATATAAGCTGCATGATGATGCTTTCAGGCTTTTGATTGTATCTATGTTCAATGGAACTTGATGAAGCAGCAAGCTTAATATGAGGGTTGTGCGTGTTATCTATCATGTTGGCCAAAAGTGCTGTATAACTCTAACTTGTTCAATTCAAACCTTTTAATAAATATATATTCCAATTTTAATGATGAAGCATTATTTTAATAACCTCTCACAGACACTTTAAGCTTATCATAAAGTTGACTTCACATGCTCTGTTTTGAATGCCGAGTATATCTAACTCTTTCTGAATGTTAGGAATTTTTGTAGTTATTGGATATCCTAGTGTCCAAGTATCCTGAGGGCTTCATTTAAAATTTTTGTGTGTGTATTAGTACCTTTCAACATTGCACAGATGAATATAGAAGCAAATTTGGCATCTGGCAGCTTCACATACTTCACAGATGGATCAGTAGACCAGCAGGGACAAGAGACTAGAGTTGCAGTTAAGGCAAGAAATTTTGTGGTTAGTTGGAGACACTGAAATGGGTGTTCAACTTTATAAACAAAGATGCTAGCCATTCAAAAGACTTTTTAACATGCTGAACACCGACAACATGTTATTATACACACAGATTCGAGAACTGCCATTGAAACCTTGCAACAAGAACACATGGGAGCCGGTCGGCCGAGCGGACAGCACGCTTGACTTGTGATCCTGTGGTCCTGGGTTCGATCCCAGGCGCCGGCGAGAAACAATGGGCAGAGTTTCTTTCACCCTATGCCCTTGTTACATAGCAGTAAAATAGGTACCTGGGTGTTAGTCAGCTGTCACGGGCTGCTTCCTAGGGGTGGAGGCCTGGTCGAGGACCGGTCCACGGGGACACTAAAGCCCCGAAATCATCTCAAGATATATACATACGTATACATAACAACATCCATTTGATCACAAATGTCAAGCGTTAATGCAAACATAATGTCTGATATTTATCAACTGAATGCCAAGTCACGTGGGAATAAGAGGGAATGACATTTGCAGATGAAGCTGCAAAACTTGCAACTAAGAGAAGAAATGTAGACATTTACATACCACAGAGTCTGTCACAGATTAACACTTTCCCACACCGATGTCTCGAGCATAGTCATTCGTTTTTCTCCGTATTGTGAACAGATGACAATTGTCGCGTCATCCATTAAAATATTTGTTAAAAATTAAAATTTTAACTGATCAATCTGGGAGTGGTTTCAAAATGAGCGCCTTATGTTATCAAACTGAACGAGTATATACATTAGTCTGCAGGTGTGCCAATTGGTGCTCGTTCACGGGTAACTTGGCCGACTTAAGGCTTTGCTGTAATTACCTAAGTGTAGTTACAGGATGAGAGCTACGCTCGTGGTGTCCCGTCTCGCCAGCACTCTTTGTCATATAACGCTTTGAAATTACTGATGGTTTTGGCCTCCACCACCTTCTCACTTAACTTGTTCCAACCGTCTACCACTCTGTTTACAAAAGTGGATTTTCGTATAATTCTCCGGCAGCTTTGTTTCGTTAGTTTAACACTTTCGCGCTCTCGGCGCTCAAAAAAAAACAATACCCCAGATGCTTTCGGCACTTCGCGCGCCTACGCGGTAAGACCGAAAAGTGTACACTCTTTTGACTGTCCTGACAATAATTGAAGGCGCACATATTTAAATTTGGTATCACTGTGTTCGCAATGAAATTGTCTATAAGAGCATACCTATAAAATGCCGCCCAAGCATAAGGAGTATCAACACCAAATAAAAAACTATGCAGATCACTCGCCGAGAGCGCCAAACAGCAACAAAATGTTTCCACTCTCTTAATGGTTGCGATCCCTACAGTTGTCCTACATCGCTAATTTTGGTATCATTGGAATCGCAATAAAATTCTCTACACGGACATATGCATATGAATGTTTAATATAGGTAATTGCCCACCCGCAAGAGTGTGTGAAGTGGAGAGTAGTTAGCCGCGAGCGCACTGGCGAAAACACAGGGGGGAAATCATGCTTGGAAAGTTTATACGTTTCCTGACCCTACTTTTCTATGTACGTATTTCTTTTTTATACCAATGTGTTCGCAATAAAATTTTCTATAAGATGAACTGTATAACATTTGTACAAAGCATGTGTAAGAGAAGCGCCAAATATAGAACCACGTCGCTCAGTATGCGTTCGCGGCAGAAACGAACGCATTGTTTTCGTTCGTTTGATGTTTGTCATGTTTATACTTGTTGAAACATTTTATAATTTGTATGACAGTGATCGCAGTAAAATTCCCTACACAGACATATACATAACACATACAAATATTTCCCACGTGTTGGATATATCAACGGCTAAAGGGAACCCACTGCCACACGCTCGCCACACCCCCAAACATACTTTGTGTATTTTTTTTTTACTCATAGAAGTTTATGTGATATAATATTCATTCTGGTACCAAAACATTCGCAAATAAATTCTCTACAAAACAAAAGTATCCCCATCCATTTCGGTTAAAAAATGGAATTTATAGAAATATTTTTTCGATGGACGAGAAAAGTAGGCAGTTATGCGGAATCGTAAGAGAAAACGGCGACGAGTTATCTCTAATATAAAGCGCGAAAGTGTTAAATCTATGACCTCTTGTTCTTGAAGTTCCGGGTCTCAGGAATTCTTCCCTATCAATTTTATCGATTCCTGTTACTGTTTTGAACGTAGCGATCATATCGCCTCTCTTTCTTCTATCATCTAGATTTTTCATATTTAATGCCCCTAACCTCTTCTCGTAGCTCTTGTCCTTCAGTTCTGGGAGCCACTTAGTGGCATGTCGTTGCACCTTTTCCAGTGTGGTAATGTGCTTAACACTTTCGCCACTTGGTGGCGCACGAGCGCATCACTAAGTTTTGTGCGGGTTCTGCAAGGGTGACTCTGGCGGGAGTCGCGAGAATAAATATTTGTATAAATTCCAATTTCGATCCGATCTACTTGGGGATAGTTTAGAAAGGTTCGCCATGAAATTTACGTTTTCTCTAATAGCCGAAGAGCTTATTTGGGAGAACGGCATGGCAGTGAATCATCGTGGTAAAACAATTGTATTATTGACACGACGAGTATGATCGACGTAGTTTTTATATTTGTTGTCGGTCGAACGCATCCTTATGTGACGTTTTATACTTATGTTCTTCTAGAACATTCTATTGCGAACACATTGGTACAAAAATGAAATACGTACATCGAAAATTAACATCAGGACAGTCAAAAGAGTATGCAGATTTAAATGTTGCTGCTCGATCGCCGAAACACTCATTTCAGTTGGGGAAAGTTTCAAACGCTGTTTTGTGAAAGTGTTAAGATATGGGCACCATAGAACCGCTGCATATTCCAGCTTTGGTCTAATAAAAGTCGTGAACAATTTCTTTAGTATTTCTCCATCCATGTATTTAAAAGCAATTCTGAGGTTAGAAAGTGTAGCATAGGCTCCTCGCACAATGTTCTTAATGTGGTCCTCAGGTGACAGTTTTCTATCTAGAACCACCCCTAGATTCCTTTCTTTGTCAGAATTCTTTAAAGATTTGTCACATAATTTATAGGTTGTGTGGGGTCTATGTTCTCCAATTCCACATTCCATAACATGGCATTTATTCACATTAAATTCCATTTGCCAAGTGTTGCTCCATATACTTATTTTATCCAGGTCTTCTTGAAAGGCGTGACAATCATCTAGGTTTCTTATCTTCCCTATTATCTTAGCATCATCAGCAAACATGTTTATGTAATTCTGTATTCCCACTGGTAGATCGTTTATGTAGACAATGAACATTATCAGTGCAAGAACTGAACCCTGTGGTACTCCACTCGTGACATTCCTCCAATCCGATACCTTGCCTCTGATTACAGCCCTCATTTTTCTGTCAGTTAGGAAATTTTTCATCCATGTTAGTAGCTTACCTGTCACCCCTCCAATATGTTCCAGTTTCCATGAATGACCTCTTATGGGGAACTCACTAAGCTGTGGTACTCACTCCGGGCTTTTAGATCTTATATGCATATACCCCTATAGAGAATTCTATTGCGAACACACTGATACCAAAATGAACGATGTAGTATGAGAAATAA